TGGGGGACTTAAAGATCTATGATAGAGCCTTGTGCGATAAAAGTTTTAAGTCCTATTATTTTATCAACCTGAAATGCTACTACCACTGAAGAGAGGAATGCATTTAAGAAATATCATTTTCTTTCAATGTCAGCTTGTGGGTTGTTGTTTTTTTTTACATCTTTTAATAAATAGAAAAATCTAGCTATTGGCCTCTCTATAACTGCCATGTCATTTTGGTTGAAGACAATGAAAAAAAAAATCCAGCAAGACTTTTCTTTTTGCTTCCAACAGTCTGAAAAGACCAATGCTGTAAGAGACTACCCAATTAGTCATAGGTAAAGATAAAGGTTCCCCTCGCACATTAATGCTAGTCGTTCCCGACTCTAGGGGGCGGTGTCCACCTCCGTTTCAAAGCCAAAGAGCAAGCGCTGTCCAAAGATGTCTCTGTGGTCATGTAGCCAGCATGACTAAACACCAAAGGAGCATGGAACACTGTTACCTTCCCCCCAAAGGTGATCCCTATTTTTCTACTTGCATTTTTAATGTGCTTTAAAACTGCTAGGTTGGCAGAAGCTGGGACAAGTAATGGGAGTTTACTCCGTTATGCAGCATTAGGGATTCGAACTCCCGACCTTTCTGATCGACAAGCTCAGTGTCTTAGCCACTGAGCCACCACATCCCTTTTCTATTAGCCATATTGTTCACTTAAAAGCAAACACACAAATAAAAGAAAGATAGCTGCCACAGGAAAATTCTTCTGATGCTATCCTATTGAATCCCAGAAGCAGAACTGTATTCCAATTCTGCCAAATTCAATCGTAAAAATTCCTCTCTTGAGAAATCTCACTGAAATTCTGTTGACAGAGAAGGAACAGATTGCAGCAACTAAGTGTCACAGGCGGTTAAGAGAAATCTGAGAGAGGGAAAAAAAAACCGGGACAAGATTTGTTTTGGTCCTATGCTGTATGTAGAATCAATTAGCGGTAATACAGAAGCTGGCTGTGTTTTCAAAACCTCTTGCTTTTCTGATTGTTTTCCTATGCTTCCAGCATTCTAAAATGTTGATTTGCTAGAAGAGGAATGTCTGACCATATGCATTCTTGGTAAACCAATAGCAAATCTCAGCTTAAAGGCTTTAGCAGTCTTTGCATTTGAGAAGTAAACTCTTATACTTCAAATCGTAATAGGATTTATCATTATGCCACATCATCATTTTTAATCACAGAACAATGACCATGAGAAACATCACCCTGAAATATATACCCTGATAACCTTCAGAATTCCATTCCACTGAGACAGAGGCAATGCATTTAAGAAACATCATTTTTTTCCATGTCAGCTTGTGGGTTTTTTTTTCCATCTTTGCTAAGGCTGCCAACAGAACCACAGACACTTTGCCAAGATATTTGTACAGATGTGCGAGTATATCTGCAGCATCCAATTGTTCCACTTATGTGTCTGGTAACCATAGAAGACAGCCTTAGCTGGCTGGTTAGGTTGAGTTGACAGCTTCTCAGTATCACTGGCGTGGTTAAGGACAAGCATAGCAGGCCAGTAAATCTAGCCCAAGGGAGACCATGTTTGCCAAATGTGAAGTCTGTTTGGTGATAAAAGGAGTTGATCAGAGAAATCTAAGGCTGAGTTCTGCCTCCCCCCCCCCCCCTCAAATAACTAGCAGATGGTAGCAACATTTGGCAATTCTCCTGCTTAGCTAGGATTCATATTGATACCCTAGAAATGAAATGAAAGCTCTTGTATCCTATTACCGCTCCCCTGAGCTATCTAGTACCCATCTGGAACAGAAAGTAAAGATTCATACAGCTTTATTTTCAAAGGCAGCAAAAGGGAAAAGGACATTTTGTTGAAAGGGGAAGAGGCAAGGTTGGGTGAAAACATACCAGAGCAAGTATTTTGTTTCGTTTAAAATAATCTCTTTCTGCAAGTGTCACAGACTATACATACATTTTTTTTACAAGAATAAACCAGATTCTTATCTACAAATTGAAGAGCCCAGAGATCCTTAGTGCAAACTATTGCTGGCCTGCAGCTTTTAAATCAGTAAACTTTGGATACCCTAAATGGTCCATTAAAGTTGAACAGATATCCTCAATCTGCTTAATTTCCTCTGGAGGCATATTGTGCTGCCAAGCATGGATGCCCGCTGGAGAGATTTCTCCTTCATAAGGAAGATAGAAAAGACTGGTGGATGTAGCAAATAGTATTTGGTTTAAGCTGGCTGGAGCCAGAGGCATGCCAAGGAAGTCATAGATGGCTTCAGCAGTCTTCTGGGGAGAGTTGACAATATCTTCAAATTTGATCAGCTGGTAGTTTGCTGGCAGCAAACCCTTATTTACTCTCAGGGCGGCTGCTGTGTTGGCCAGCCATAAATGGGACATCACGGTGACAGCATTTGAATCTGAAGCGGGAAGCTTCTCTGTCAAAGCTTCATATTCAAAGGCATAGCCTGAATTGGAACCACATTTTTCTTCATGACTGTCTCCTTTAAACAGCTTAGTCAGGTGCTGTGGTACTTTCCTCAGAGAGTAAAGGCTAGGCTGGTTTCTGTACAACATTGAGTAGATCCAGGCACGCGGATCTCGAACCACATAAAGCGCTCTCAGGGAAGGACCAATGACTTCCTGAAGGAAAGGTAACTTTAACGTCCAACTTCCACTACTCAGACTAAGGACGGGGCGAGCATTTGGATAAGAGGCAAGGTGTTGCCTCAGTTCCCGAATGTATTCAGCTTCTTTGTCTAAATTTCCTCGCAGGCGGTTTCTTTGCTCTACCATAGATTCTCTCTTCCTGGGCCGCCTCTTCCTGTCTCTGCTAGTGGAAGAATGCTGCACCAATTTACTTCTGCTGGTTTCATGCAAATGGATATTTTGTAAGTGAAGCTTTGTGTCTTTGACTAAGGAAAGCAGCCAGCCCTGGAGGATCCGAAAATGGCCGCTCTGAACATCCGAAGCTTTCCATTCACAGGCATCAACAAATGAGTCAACCTCGAACTCGGTTTCAGGGATATCAAGGTAACCCGTAGGGATCTTGATATAGACAAAATCACTAGTGTTGTAAAAGAGCTGCTTCAGAATTTCTGCCCCTGAACTAGGGAGGGAAGTGATGATAATGTTAGGCAAATTAGGATGTCCTTGGTCCTCCCTTTCACCTGGTTCCATATTTGTCATACTGCTGGTCCACTTTGCGCAAATCAGCTGAGTGCAGGAGCTCCACACATCTACAAGTTCAATAAACCACAAGGTGATCACCAGGATTAAGACCCAGCGCAAAAGCTTACCAAAGGAAATGTAAAATCGCCAGTGAAAAGCCAATATGGCCAAGCTAATCCCCAAAATAAATCCTGCTATCACATTCACTTTAAAGCCAAAGGGGAAAATGGATTTATGAATAAGTCCCTGCTTCCCTATCATCTTAGTGCCCAGGCCAAACTGTGTAACCTTTCCTGGAGTGGCTACTGTGGCATAGCCACCAAATCCTAAATAACGGAACCTTGTCCACAGATTGAGATACTCTGTTACAACAGAGTAGATTATTTCTGTATTGTTGATGTTTAGAGAAATCCGATACCCCGACTGGGCATCGTCAATAAACCTACAGGTAGAAACATTGACATAAGGCCCATGGAACACATAGGCAATTCTCGCAATGTTACTCTTTGTAGAGAAAGTGACATTTACAAACTGAGTCCATCTCTTTTTGAACTCAGCTGCTTGCTCGGCCTCTTGTATCCTAGCAACAGGGCTATTCCCATGATGGTCAAACCAAAACATTTTATAGTGAGCATCCCAGACATCCATCATGGCTCCATTATATTTGTTCACAAATTTGTATGGGACATACTTGAAGTCAATGTCAAGATTATGAAAAAAGGCACTGATGGCATCAATAGGAGAGTCTTCCTCCTTTTCCACGTGGTCCACCACAAGTAATGTTTGAGGATTTAGTAGAAGCAATGAGCGGTATACACTTTTCAGCTTCATGGCTGATGAATATGCAGAAGCTGCCTCACCACTCACAAACATCATCTCTTCATGCTGAGAGGAGGAAATAATCTCCCCAAATGCATCCCCAACTTCATCCCCTGTCCACTTAAGCCACTGCATACATTCCCCGAGCTGACCTTCCCAAGGCTGATTGCACTGACTTGTAGGGGATGGAGCAAATACTAAAACATTGTTCAAGTGGCTAAGCTTAGGTCCATAAAGGGCCTCTGAAACGAACACCTGCCCATTTGGAGCAAAAGTAAAAGAGTTTTGATCAGGATGTTCATGGCCTGGGTTGAAGCTACGCCAGCCGTCAATCCAGGAATACGGCTGAAAGTGTACTATATCATAGACAGCACGTCCCCCAAGCTTTCCAGACTTAAAGGAAACAAAGGTGTTTGTCTGAGTGTTTGGTAACCCCGCTCCATATGTAACCACTCCCCAATTTGGAAATACATGCATTTTAGCCTTGCCATAGTCATCTGGAGGTTGGGGGGTTAACCTGGGGTCATACCATATGTACTCTGTATGAAGGGTGCTCCACCGTTGGGCAGTGGATGGTACCATTGGGCCATCTTTGGGCCGGTGCTTTCTAATTTGCTGTGCAAGCCAATTGCCGACTCCATTCTTCAAGACAAACCTATCTAAGAAAACCAGTTGGCTTTCTGGACCATAAAACCAATTGTAATTGGAATCAGCTATGCCTACAGTTCTCTGAAAGCCTGGCAAAAGGGTGGCATAATAAAACCAAAAGTGCATCTTGAGCCATTGGTTTTCAAGATTGTTAATCCCAAAGTGACGCTGGGCCAGGAAAATATACTGGGTGATGGATTTGGCTGTGTAGCTACCGTAAGCTACACCTTCGTCCAAGGAACCATCAACAATATGGTTTAGCAGAAACATAGTTTTTTCCATCACATCTACTACACCATGTTTCCAGGCATTTGCTTGGGACTCAATGCCTCCTCCAGTCACCAGGGCCCCAATGAGCAATGCCAGCATATTTGTGGCTTGATGGTTGTGAAGAAGTTGCTTGCCCCAAGAGCGGACTTTGGAGTACTCGTACATTTCCTCGGTCACAGCCCATATCTTGGTAGAATATTTTTGTCTTCTAACATCATCCAATGAGGCATATAAAAAATCAAAAGCAGTTGCAAAGCCAGTTAAAGAATGCCCAAGAGGAACTTCATCGCCTGGGGCATTCTCCACCAGCCAGTCTTTATATCCTGCCATTCTGTCCATGTATTCGACAGCAAAATCAAAGGCAGCTTTATCTTCAGGACAGAGGAGACAATAAAATGCTAGGGGAGGCAAATTGTTTCCATATATCTCATTCCACTTGGCAGCAAAATCAGCATGCTTGGGAGGAGGTAGATAGTAGGAGGGATTTGAGAGCATCGTAGACACGGCACTCCGGAATGCTCTAAAGAGGTGTAGATGACTAGTGTGAGACTTTTGCCTCAGAGCTGGAACCTCTTCAGCACCGAAATATAAGTTTGGATACAGGATGGTTTTTTTCATCTTCTGATTTGCTCCCAAAGCTTCCATCTTCTGCTTCTCGTACTGATCCACATCATCTGTAAAAGTCACCCAGTCGGAGTAATTGCTTACAGATTCTTCAAAAGTGGAGGCTGCCAACATTACTAATGCTAGAAATATGGAATGTCCTGTAAACATTAGAGCCATGATCCATTAGGCAGATTCCCCACTACGGTTATACACCTCTGTTGGTGGGGTGAATGGCTGGAAAGTTCAAGTTTCAAGCACAAATCAACCTCCCCGTGGGAAAATCCGCTTGAAAGTGCTTTACTGTACATAGGGAAAATAAAACTTTTACTGGTACACACAGTTCTTGGAATACAACGTCATTAGGCACAGCTCTATGTTGAATTGCAAGTACACTGACAGACATTATATGGCTATACAGAAAAGTAAAGAGAATGTCACCCCTCACTAATGTCCATGTATACTTGATACATAGGTTCTGAAAAGGATATTGTATGTTTAGCAAGCCATAAAGTGCAGGGAGGGGAGGTCATATCCAACTCATTACTTTGTTAATAATGGAATTATTCTTCCTCAAAATACATTTAGTCATTCATGTCATTGAAAAAGAAAGCAAGAACATGACATATATCAAAACAGTAGGAAACAAATGTCGTTTTGTATAAAAGGGAGCATACAGCGAATGAATTGTGTGCCTTCATTTTCATTTCTCATGTGGGTTGAAAATATCCATACGTTACTTTTTGTGGGTAGAAAGGTTTAGCAAAATATTTTTGTCAGCCAGACTTGTAGCAGCTCCAAACTTAAGCCATGAAAGCTTTGCTTGATCTGAACTTCCTGGAAGAGGATGGTGGTTTTAATGCTTGGTTTCATAACTGCCATGTTCTCATCCATCTGTGCAACTGGCTCCTGTTCTGAAGGTTTTTTTAACTACCTTGATGTCCTCATCACAAAACACATTTTAAAAAGGGTGCAGAAAATGTGAAACACCGATCACTTTTGCTTCCACTGTTCCTGTAGTCTTTTTTTCTTTGTTTGTTTGGTATGATGAACTTCTCTGCTTTAAAAAGAAAAACCAAAAATGTGTCATTAAATGTTTTTAAAGAAATATTAAGCTAAATATTAAACTAATATCAACATATACATATTTTTCTTTAAAAAGCCAAGACATGGTGGCATTCTTATTCTGATCAATTTAGCATCAGAAATAAATAGTGTGAGCTTCTTCACCCATTTCCTTCAAAGTGCTTGAGCGTTCGGAATAGGTTGAAAACTTTTACCCAAGAATGAATCAATTCCATTTTGGTTAAGTGTCAACGCCACCCAGGAACCCCATCAATAATGCCAATTGTCAATTAAACCCATTTCTTTCTTTTCCTGCTAGCTGATGCAAGAGCACCAGTTTTGAGAACCAAGCCAACTTGAAGAGTGTCTGAGCTCTGACGACTTTGTCCTTTTGAAATATGGTCCCAAAGCATTTCAGTTTCCCCACGCAGATATGCTTGTAACTAATTTATTCCCTTTGCACCTAATGATACATATATAGGTATCCTTAATGCCCCTCTTTTCACCTGTGGCCGGCCGAATGGCTGGTCACCAGAGGGCGCCAGGAGCTAATTAACCAGACCGGCCTGGCACACTTAGCACAAGTTTTCTTTGCCAACAGATGGAAATACTTAAAAGTCATCGCCAACACGAGGTGCGGCCAGGAAATTCTTCTTAATAATAGTAGCAATTATAATATGATAATTAATGAAGATCTTCCCCTAACATTGTTTTAAAAAGTTGCAAAGCCGCCGCCTTACCTTAAGGAGTCTTCCTCCGGAGGACAGAATAACGGAGGGAACCGATAAAAAAGAGGAGAAATATCCGGGGAAACAAATAAGTTGTTTAAAAAAATGTTTAGTTTAGGTTTTTTTTTCCCCTTTCCGCGGATCTGCAGGCCGGCGCTCCCCGACTGGATCGGATAAGCCCCGAGCTCCCTTTCGGCTCCTTCACAAACTGTCCCGAAGCCCGGCTTGTGTCAACACGTGATGGATCCGCGTCGTGGGTTTTTGTTTTCGTTTTTCCTCTACCCCAAGATCGAGGAAAGAGTCGGATCCCGGCAAAGACAATCCGAAGTAGCCGAAAAAGAAAATTAAAAAAGGCGGAAAAGCCGCTTAGTCTCCTCGTAGCGTTAACGTGAAGGCGCCGAGAAAGAATGGACTTTTTCTCCTTTTTACCCCGATCCCGCCAAGTGGGGAGGAGTCGACCAACAAAAATCAAATCAAATTCTCAGGCGGGATTAATCGTTCAGAGTTTGATGCCAAATCGACTCCGGCAAAGAACGTGACTTTTTCCGCAGAGACGAGCCAGGCAGAGCCGCTGTGCCCGTAGCCGCCGCTGCCGCCGCAGCTCCGGCTTCTGCCTGAAGCGACGGACTTTCCGCCGGCCGAGCCTCAGCCATGATCATCCCGCTGCCTGTCTGTCAATCGGTCCGCCTCCGTTGCAGCCAGCGGCTCAACCGCTGCGGTCGGCGGGTTGAAAGCTACAGCGGCCAACGCCGGGCAGATTAAGAGCGGCAAGCGCTGCCTGGAGCCGGGCGGAGTCAAGGCGGGTGTGGCGGCGGTCTCTGCCCTCGCCGGCAGCTGCTGCTGCTCATTCTCAGTGTTTTTTTTTGTTTTTTTTTTGCAACGCCCGCCCGGTACCGAGCATGTGCGAAAGACGCTGCCCCCCCCCACACTCTTCAACCTCCACCCCCCTACTCTTAACTACACCTGATCTTTGTGAAAGGGCGTGAAGCAAGCGGGACGGGGGTGGGGATGAGCTGGGATCGGGTGGGACCTAGGTGGAGGAGCAGCGGGGGAGAAAACTGAAGAGATGCCAGGAAAGTGTTGATGGAATGGGGACATTCTCTGCGAGCATACAGACGAACGCTCTTGAAACGTGCCCAGGCTGACTAAGTGGGTGAGGTTCTAGGAAGAAAGTAAAAGTCAGCACTTTGTGGATTCTCTCTTTTATTCATTAAACATGAAACTCAGTCAACCGAACATTTAAAAGTGTGTCACAAATACCATTGACTGGTGCTAGTGATTGATATGGGTTGCTGCCAACATCCTAGGTATCAACCAAGTAAGGTAGCTTCTTAAGATATATGATGTTTTGAGCAGTGCAATTTTTTGCAGTTCCTCTGGTGTTATTACAGGAAGCTGCAATTTCCTGATGTGTTTTGTAAAATTTTGAGTGCCCCGATGACAATGGGTATCACTGTGACATGCTTCATCCATAACTGTTTATTTTGATGGCCAAGTCGTGATATTCGTAATTTTTTCCAGTTCTTTTTCTTTGACTCTGGCGTCTCCTGGTACAGCGATGTCAGTGAACTCTACTCTTCGGCTCTCAACAACCGTGATATCAGGCGTGTTGTGTTCCAAATGATGATCTGTCTGTATTTGAAAGTCCCACAAGATCTTCACCATCTCATTTTTAGTAACATTTTCCACTTTATGTTTCCATTACTACTACTACTACTACTACTACTACTACTACTACTACTACTACTACTACTACTACTACTACTACTACTACTACTGAATGGTTAATCTTTGGTGAGATTCACAGCCTTTGGGGCTGTTTGGTAGCTCAACAGCTTGAGTCTTAACGACGGTCGTAGGGACTGTTAAGGTAATGTCGGAGGATATAAGCTGTTCCAAGTAGGGTGGTTTTTTGTAGAATCAGAATGTTCAAGTCTGATAAATTTAAAATTTAAAAGGTATTGCAGGAAACTACAATTTGTTGATGTAGCTTGTAAAATTCTTGGACATGGTGCCAAGTGCCCGGATGATAATGGGTATCACTGTTACATGCTTCATCTAATTATTATTATTATTATTATTATTATTATTATTATTATTATTATTATTATTATTATTATTATTATTAT